GGAGTAGCCAAGGAGCTTGGCTATTTGTTGTATTTCTCCAGGGCTCTTATTGTGCTTTAGAGTTTCCTCCACATTGAAAACTGACATGTACTGCAATGCTTCGATGTTGTCCGGCAGTCTCACCCTCAACTCATTAGTGAGGGAGATGGTGAAGGCTACATACCGCTTTCGGACATTGTTTTCATCCTCAGGCGCAAGGTGGAACTCAGCTGCCTTTGACTCAAAAAGGTAACCAAGGTACGGTTTGGGACTGATGTATCCATCTATTGGCCCTTTGAGTACATCAACATTTGCCAGTGGATTCAGCACCCTGCTGCTCACAGACTTGATCCGGCTAACCAAGCTGTCAAGTAGCTTAAGAGGATCTACATTGCTCTCCCTCAAAAGCCTTGATGGCCAACTGTACCTCACCCAGCACTGACTTCAAACAAGTCAGATACAATATGTTTTGAGGATCACTGTACATGGAGTATAAAACCTCAGCCATGTAGCAGTGTTCACTGGACTTGGTGACTGCGAAATGCAGCCTAAGCTCCTCCCACTGGTCCAAAATGCGTGAAACCGCGGGTTCAATGGAGAGCCAACATGTGGCACACACCTTGGTTATCTGTAAAGGTTTCTCCCCCACAGTTTATGGTCTCATATATGGCCTTGTATGCCTCCCTGCGCTTTGGAGACACTGAAACCAGTTATAAGTATCTCGTACCAAGTACTCCACACTACGGGAGATGGTGTCATTGGAAGCATGACTTACAGCAAGCTGCAGAGAGTGGCACACACAGCGAATAAGAACCAGATCTTTGAGGCCATACTCCTCAGGACTTTATGGACCCCATTGTTAATCCCCGTCATAACAGAAGCATTGTCAGTCCATATCCCCAGGAGTTTCTCTTTTTTAAGACAACACTTCTCGAGGAAAGCCACAACAGCACGGGCTATAGATTTGGCATCTCCTCCCTCCAACTCAACAAGCTCCAGAAATGTTGATACAATTGTCTGCTTGGTGTCACTAAAGTACCTTATCACAACCCCTAGGTACTTAGAAACACTTACATCCGTGGAGTCATAGAGGAGGAGGCTGAAACGCTGATCACCCACATCATGTGTTTTTTTTACATCACTAAGTTTGGTGTGGAAATAAGCCTTACAATACAGGCAGTATGCCCATGTATCATCTCCAATAAACGGCTTCAACCAGCCTTTCAATTCAGGGTTTGATTCCCACTCCTTTCTGTATTTTTGAGTGTACAGTTTAGACTGAGACATGATGAGCTAGCCAGCTAGATGTTTAGCTTATGTCACAGAGAGCCACACACACAGTGGACGAGGTGAGTAAGTGACTGAGGCTGTGTGAGTCAAATGCAGTGATTTATTTTTGTGCAGTGATTTATTTTAGACAAAGAACATTTTACATTTACATCCCGCCCTGAATGTAAGCCAGGGCGGGATCAGCCAGCGGCGGCTTCCCGCATGTGCGATTCATTTGCAGTCTGGACGCAGAGGGGTGAACATCTCCTGCTCTGACTGCAGCTGGGAGGGACACGGCACCACCTGTAAGTGCTTTGGGATGGGGGTGGGGCCCACGGCAGCACCCGTTGCTCATTGAGAAAAGTAAGAACGAAATGTGCTTTCACGTCAGTCTCCAAAAGTCTCCAATAACACCAGAAAAAGTCACTAGATTTGTCACTATTCGATTTTTTGAAAATGTGTCACTAGAGGGGTATGAATACTCGCTAAATATAGCGACAAAGTTGCTAAGTTGGCAACACTGGGAGAGAGAGCGAGAGAGGGAACTAGAGAACACTTTATCAACTTTTTAATAGCTTAGAGTAAAATAAAATATGCTAACTGTTATGGAAAGCCGTTTTAACATATATTAATTTACTTTTTTGTATCTAATTGTTTTTTTTATATCATCTAATTATTGATATCAATAATTCGAATTATCGATATAAAAAAAGTATTATATATTTTTATAGAAATGCAAGAATGGGCTGCCATCAGTCAGGATGTGGCCCAGAAGTTAATTGACATTGAAATGTCGACTTTTTTACATCAATATTTCAATTATTGATATCAATAATTATCGAATTACACATATAGTAGCATATATTTAGCATTATTAAGACTTAAACCAATCAGCTTCTAGTTCCTTGAACGTCAATGAAGAGGAGGGTGGAGAGAGCACCGAGAGGCAGTCTTCACATTTTGTTGCCATTCCTGCAGTCGAATGGCCACAGCGCCAAATTTAAACTCTGTCTGACATGGTGTCTTCTTTTTTTAAAGCCCATAACCATGTGTGTGAGATGTATACTTTTGTTTCAAAGTAGATTTGTTTAAGACTACCAAGAAACACTCTGTGTGACCCTGATTTAGCCCACTGCCATAGAAGTTTAAAATAAAATAAAATGATTACATTTGATTGTTTTCCTACTGATGTACACAACCTACTCCACATTTCTAAAGTGAAAGAAAAATCAAAGAACATTTTCTAAATTAATAAAAAACAAAAAACAAAGATGTCTTGATTGCGTACTGTATGTCTTCACAAAGAGGTGGTACCACAGGTCTCCAAGTGGTGTGGCAGAAAAATGTTTCTGGGGCCCGTAGTTTTTCCTGATCTGGTAACCTAACCAGGTAAAACTCCGGACCTTTTACGGTATGACGTGATTCATCTGTTGTAAAAAGGTTTAAAATGGGCTAAGATGGGACCAGAGTTTTATCAGCCCAAGTTTGAATATAAAGCACATTTGATCCCATTCACATTTTCTCACAAACAAATGGGCCATAAATACACAACATTACCGCTTCATTTACCCTGGCCAGAGTGCATAGTAGGCTAGACTATACAGCTGCTGTTGTTAGTAGCCTATAGTTGATCAGACTTTAAAATTGTCTGGTTTCCATGCATCCCAGCAAACAGGGGATGTCCTGAGGACATTCAGCGACGTTCCCATTAGGTCTCTTAAGGGTTTTGGCGCAATGTTATTCCACTGACGTTATGAGAACATTCTAAGAACGTTGCGTGATGATCCCAAGGGAATGTTCCCAGGACATCGCTGAGGACCATGTCAGGACCTTTTTAAGGATGTTCTCAGGACTTTAATTTTAATAGTCCTTAGGAGGTTGTGTGATGGTCCTAAGGGAACGTTCTCTGGGGGACCTTTTGTGTAGTTCCCTGTAAGTTCCCAGGACGTCACTGAGGACCATGTCAGGACCTTTTAAGGAGGTTCTCAGGACTTTACTAGTCCTTAGGATGTCGTGTGATGGTCCCAAGGGAAATAAAGCAAAATTATATACTAATATGAAAGTATAAACCCACCATAGTGATGTCGGTTAAGAAGTTATGAATAAGGTCCCAGGCGGAGTGTTCTCGGTTGAACGTAGACAGTCCTTGCACTTTGCAACCCACGCCCACCGTGACATATAACACCGCCCACTGGGCGAAATGGCGTAAAAATAGTTTGTCCCAGCTCAGCGCTGCCCCCTCTGTTAGGCCGCCATTAGCTACTAAATTATCCTTATTGGTACCATGATTGTCTTTGAAATTTGTATTGATTTACATGAAGATTGACCACGAAGATTGCCATTTTCCATTCACTATAATGGGGAATCCTGTTTTCTGCAAACATTTCCTTGCAGTACTGAGGTCGGGCTTGAACTTCATGGCTTCAATGAAAGGGCGCAGTCGTTCTCCCCTGATTTGATCCATCTTTATTTTTCACCTTCTCCTCTTCTTTCCCACTAGAGGGGGACCTCTAACAGTTAGTCAGCTCAGAAGTACTGTAGTTCCAAGGCCTACCATACAAATAAAACACACACTAGACACAAGTTTATCCTACTGTGACAAATGATAACTTTACATATGATAACTTGACATGATGAAAGAGAACTTAAGGGAGTTCAATTGTGTGCAGTAGAAAACCCTATGTTAACTTTACACCTCTCTCTGTTAGTTTCAACGAAACGGACTCGTGTGTGTAAAGACAGACCTCTGTGTTTCTGGGTGAGAGATAATTCAAGTATACCATCTAGTGTTCAAACATTGTTTTAAAACAACATTGGTGGGAATAGGTTGTCTGTAACAATAGTCCCACTGATCACTCTAGCTAAAGTTGTTTATTTCTTCAGAAACAGACATTCAGAAATAAATGTTCCCAAACATTCTTAATCAATATGATAGTTCGTTTATTTGCAAGGAGACCAACCAGCTCCAATTTAAATCTTTAAGAGGAAAAAATTTACATTTTATTTATCTTGAACATAGTGTCATCTAGTGATACATGAGGGGATGCGTTCAAGTCAAGTCTTTTCATAGCATGTTCATGAGCAGCTCTCTCAAATCAATGCAGACATGAGATGCCTCAGTTAGTCAACAAAACATTACACATTCTATAGTCCTCTAGTCTTACAATTATATGTAGAATTAGTAGCATTGAAGAGAAGGAATGTCCTCTTTCTCTTTCCAAACACTGGGCACTTTGAGAACATTTTTATTTAACCTTTATCTTGACAGGGAAGTAACACAGACTAGATGAGCCCTGTAAAAGAGACCCTAGTCTCAGTATGACTTCCCATGTTGCTCAGGGGGAAGGCTCTGTCTATCCCCTCATGGGGTCTTTCCACTCCAAAGCATCTTTCTTCTACCTCCCTCGAGTGTGAGTTCTGAGGTGTCCCTTGATATGGCTAGACTGACTGAACCCTTTCCCGCAAACAGGACAGGAGTAGGGTTTCTCCCCTGTGTGGACCCTCAGGTGGGTCTTCAGATGGACTGACTGGCTGAAGCGTTTACCACACACGTGGCAGCGGTACGGTCTCTCTCCTGTGTGGATGCGTTGGTGCTCCCTGAACCTCCCTGAGTAGCTGAAGCTCTTGCCACACACACCACAGTGGAAGGGCTTATCTTTAGTGTGAGAACGCAGGTGGACCTTGAGGTAACTGGTAGAGGTGAATGACTTCCAACAGACCGTGCAGAGGATTTGCCTGTGACTAGTGTCACCACTGTGTGGTACTGTGTGGGCTAGCATGTGTGCCTCCAGTTGGGATAGCTCACAGAACACGGCACCACACTGAGTACATGAGTGTGTCTGTGTGTCCTCCTCTGGTCTCCTTTCTAGATCTCTTGGAACAATTCCAGTGTTCTCACTCTGTTTTCTAGAACAGTCTGGATTTATTTCAGAGAGGGACTGAGACTGAGGGAAGTCACTGGTTGGTTCTGATAGTGATACTCCATAGCCCTCTCCATCAGGTTCTGTTTTGATCTGTCCAGTTGTGTTAGTCAGTAGAGAGTCCCTCTCTCTGTTCTCCACAGTTTGGGGAAGATGTGTGGGCTGAGGTGGCTCCTGATCACAGTCACTTTTCACACAGGGAGGAATGGTTATGGAGTCTTCTTTGGTATCAGCCTCCGGCCCTTGAATCTGCTCTTCCTCCTGACGGGTCCTGAGTTCACCCTGTTCCTGTTTAATCTGTGTGGGCTCTGGGTCCCTCTGCCCCAGACTGGGGCTCCACTCCTGCTCACAGTGATGTTGCTCAGGGGGAGTTTGCTGCTCCGAGACACAAGAGAGAATGGGCTGAGGAGCTGGGGGAAAGAAGACAATAAATGACGTCAATGAAAGTAATGACAGCTGTTGACGCTTGATTGACAAGACCACCATTGCGTTAGCTAGCTTGATCTGGGAATAGAATATATATGTCTCTGTCTGAATCCCAAATCCCCCCTTCCCATCACCCCTCTATTTGCGCATTCACGCACACCTCCGCCATATGCACAAGTGTCCTAAAGCTGAGGGTGTGAAAATTATGGAGGGTGTAGGGGCAAATTAGACTCGCCGATAAACCACTTTGACCAACCCAGCAACGCTAGCGGCTTCAGAGCGAAGTGGAATCCCACAATGCATCGCATTATTTTTGAATTTGCGCAATTTCACACAAGAATTGAGAGGCGTGCCAAGCCTAGTGGAGATCTAGCGCCCACTAGCTGCTACCTAGGCTTCCATCATACCGACATTGCGTTTTGGTACACCAGAAGTACATTCATTTCCAATAGAACACTGCGTTTGCGTTGCAGAGGCAGTTGCAATGCATTCTGTGTGGTGCATATGTTGGATTTATCTAACAAATGCATCAATTGTATGCGTAGACGGCTTGACAGAAATGGTAGCAGAAGGTGAATGTTGAACTTGTGTTGCTCATATATCCAGATGATGCTGCGTACCATTTTGCGCAATGACTCTGTAGGTGTGATCCATACCGACAGCGTCATTGCAACAATACTGCAATAAGTTCTGCAAACATTTTTCATTATGTAACCCAACATTTTAGTGGATGTGTTTAACAAAAGTTCAACATTCACCTTTTACTACTAATTCTGAAAAGTCTACACATACAATTTTGCATACGTTGGATAAATCTGTATGCACCACACAGAACGCACTGCAACTGCCTCTGTAACGCAATGCTGCAAGCAAACACAGAGTTCCATTGGAAATGAATGTACCTCTGGTGTACCAAAATGCAATCACGCTGTCAGTCGGATCTAGGCGTAAAGTGTGCCTTACACCTACACCATCATTGCGCAAAATGGTATGCAGCATCTCATCTGGATATGTGAGCAACACTAAAGTTCAACATTCACCTTCTGCTACCATTTCTGTCAAGCTGTCTACACATACAATTTCATGCATATGTTCAATAAATCCAACGTATGCACCACACAGAACGGAGGGCCCTTGGTCATGGCTAGAAGAGGTCCAGCTTTTGTCAAATTAATGTCAGATTTGACTTTTCGTAGCAGGTTTGGAGAATTTACGCAGCAGGTTAGGATAATTAGGTTAAGGTTAGGAAAATGGTTAGGGTAAGCTCAAATGCAAAAAAATATATCTACTTTTGACGTTAATTTGACAAAAGCTGGATTCCTTCTAGCCATGACCAGGGCCCTCCGAGAGAGTTGGTAGGGGCGAGGGCTGGGGGTGGGTGGGGGGGATTCACCGTCTCTCTAACCATATAGATAATTCGTGTAAAGTCTAGCTAGCTACATACCCTGTAGGACCGGTGAAATCAAGTGTCGTTTCAGGTACTGGTTTTCTCTCTTCGTCCGGGCTATTTCTTCCTGGTACTCGGAGATTGTGTCTCCGACCACTCTAAGTATCTCCTCGGCAGCTTGCATCAAACGCTCAGTTAGATACACATTCAGATATTGTAATTTAGTCATCGTTGGACGATTTTAGTGGGCAAAATAGCTTCCGAAAATACACGTAGCTAGGTCAAAGACAGTACAGTCTTTAGAAACTCTGTGACTAGGGTTTGTTGTCAAACATGAACGCTGTACTGCACGGAAGTGACGTCAGCGCGGGCGTGTTCACAGCAGCGAACCGAAATATTCTTTCGCGGGAAGCTACCAAACCCATCAGGACTCACGCCTCACGCCATTGGCCAATGGGCACTCGGTAACGCTTTCTCCGCCGCGTTCGTGGAGAAGCAGCCTGCCGCAGTGCCGCGTCCAACCAGCTAGTACGATTGACTGACCAATAGAAAGCTAAATGCCACGGTACAAGTAAACTAATCAAGCTCACGAATTAGATATGGTTACGACTAGAATTTCTTGTTTTCACGTTTTTTAAAATATAGCTAAAGTTGCGTCATTGACATTGTAAAAGAGATACACACGTTGCACATTATGAAATAAAGAAAAAGCTGGCGACTTTGACAGACTGAGCAGTACAGTAAGTAACGTTAGCCTGCCACTGGAAGAAAGTGAAGACAGCAACTCAGTAAGGTAACTCGTTACTATAATTTATATATTGCTATGATGTGTTAATCTGATCCCTTCCAGAATGTCAACACAATTACAATATGTCTGTACACTTTTATTCCAATAGTGTGTGCATGTCCTTCCATATAAAAGGGCATGCACCAGTATCATGAAAGGTTATAGGTAATTGACCTAATGATAAATGCTAACTCTGAAATAGTGTCACGTCTAGCATGGCATGCATACAAAAGTATGAAAGTTATTATATTAATGCCACTTTGACGTTTATGTTTCCATCATTCGACATGTCTTAAGGTCTACACATTGGCCAAACTATCTATCAATGCTAATTGGAGACTACCCCACTGGAAGATGAGGTCAACCACCTCAGGTGTCAACTGCCTGTCTCTCTCTCAGAAAAAGCTGTGCCTTGCCCACACCAAGGCAGTGACAAGGGAGAGGGAGGCAAAAGCACCAGTCAAGATCCAGGTGGGAAACTGCTGGCAGACCATGCCAGGGCTGCCCACAACAGAGAACAAAGCAAGTAGTTTTAGGCCTATCTTAAAATACTCCTCTCACCTCCTTCTTTAAAAAAAGGCATATTATGCAATATAATGTAGCCTAAGCTATGATATTGGATAGGCTATTCGTATCAAGTATCTATTTTCATAGTGTGAATGATGGAAAAAATGTATCAAATGATTAATAGGCATTAGGAAGGTGCCTGTAATAGTGTTCTGTAATGACTGTATTTATGCTCTGCAACCACATTCTCTGTGTCTACATTCATAGGTCATGGACAGGACACACCAGACAGGACCCACCAGACCTACAGCCATCTTGGGTAGTGCACATCTCAGGCTGGCAAACCTGGATAGGGTGTTCCCCAAGGTGACATTCTGGTGAAATCCACCCTACTCCTGTTAATTTATTATGTCTGAATATGATCAGTCTACCATAATTCTATCTATAAGTGCTTAATATCCTACTAAAGCAAATTTGATGGGTAGCCAGGCTGAAACTCCCTGTGAAACTCAGTCCAACACCTTTGTCCAGGGGTGTCAAACTAAATTCCTGGAGAGCCGCGTGATTACTGGGTTATTTCCTTTCAATTCGTGTTCAGTTAAGACCTGTATGTATGTATGTATGTATGTATGTATGTATGTATGTACAGTAAGGGAAAAAAGTATTTGATCCCCTGCTGATTTTGTACGTTTGCCCACTGACAAAGACATGATCAGTCTATAATTTTAATGATAGGTTTATTTGAACAGTGAGAGACAGAATAACAACAAAAAAATCCAGAAAAACGCATGTCAAAAATGTTATAAATTTATTTGCATTTTAATGAGGGAAATAAGTATTTGACCCCTCTGCAAAACATGACTTAGTACTTGGTGGCAAAACCCTGGTTGGCAATCACACAGGTCAGATGTTTCTTGTAGTTGGCCACCAGGTCTGCACACATCTCAGGAGGGATTTTGTCCCACTCCTCTTTGCAGATCTTCTCCAAGTCATTAAGGTTTCGAGCCTGACGTTTGGCAACTCTAACCTTCAGCTCCCTCCACATATCTTCTATGGGATTAAGGTCTGGAGACTGGCTTGAGCCACTCCTATCAAATCAAATCAAATTTTATTGGCCACATGCGCCGAATACAACAGGTGCAGACATTACAGTGAAATGCTTACTTACAGCCATTAACCAACAGTGCATTTATTTTTAACAAAAAAGTAAAAATAAAACAACAACAAAAAAATTGTTGAGAAAAAAAGAGCAGAAGTAAAATAAAATAACAGTAGGGAGGCTAAATATACAGGGGGGTACCGGTGCAGAGTCAATGTGCGGAGGCACCGGCTAGTTGAGGTAGTTGAAGTAATATGTACATGTGGGTAGAGTTAAAGTGACTATGCATAAATAATTAACAGAGTAGCAGCAGCGTAAAAGGATGGGGTGGGGGGGGGGGGGGGGGGGGCAGTGCAAATAGTCCGGGTAGCCATGATTAGCTGTTCAGGAGTCTTATGGCTTGGGGGTAGAAGCTGTTGAGAAGTCTTTTGGACCTAGAATTGGCACTCCGGTACCGCTTGCCGTGCGGTAGCAGAGAGAACAGTCTATGACTAGGGTGGCTGGAGTCTTTGACAATTTTGAGGGCCTTCCTCTGACACCGCCTGGTATAGAGGTCCTGGATGGCAGGAAGCTTGGCCCCAGTGATGTACTAGGCCGTACACACTGCCCTCTGTAGTGCCTTGCGGTCGAGGCCAAGCAGTTGCCTTGGCCGTGTGTTTTGGGTCATTGTCATGCTGGAATACCCATCCACGACCCATTTTCAATGCCCTGGCTGAGGGAAGGAGGTTCTCACCCAAGATTTGATGGTACATGGCCCCGTCCATCGTCCCTTTGATGCGGTGAAGTTGTCCTGTCCCCTTAGCAGAAAAACACCCCCAAAGCATAATGTTTCCACCTCCATGTTTGACGGTGGGGATGGTGTTCTTGGGGTCATAGGCAGAATTCCTCCTCCTCCAAACACGGCGAGTTGAGTTGATGCGAAAGAGCTCGATTTTGGTCTCATCTGACCACAACACTTTCACCCAGGTGTCCTCTGAATCATTCAGATGTTCATTGGCAAACTTCAGACGGGCCTGTATATGTGCTTTCTTGAGCAGGGGGACCTTGCGGGCGTTGCAGGATTTCAGTCCTTCACGGCGTAGTGTGTTACCAATGGTTTTCTTGGTGACTATGGTCCCAGCTGCCTTGAGATCATTGACAAGATCCTCCCGTGTAGATCTGGGCTGATTCCTCACCGTTCTCATGATCATTGCAACTCCACGAGGTGAGATCTTGCATGGAGCCCCAGGCCGAGGGAGATTGATAGTTATTTTATGTTTCTTCCATTTGCGAATAATCGCACCAACTGTTGTCACCTTCTCACCAAGCTGCTTGGCGATGGTCTTGTAGCCCATTCCAGCCTTGTGTAGGTCTACAATCTTGTCCCTGACATCCTTGGAGAGCTCTTTGGTCTTGGCCATGGTGGAGAGTTTGGAATCTGATTGATTGATTGCTTCTGTGGACAGGTGTCTTTTATACAGGTAACAAACTGAGATTAGGAGCACTCCCTTTAAGAGTGTGCTCCTAATCTCAGCTCGTTACCTGTATAAAAGACACCTGGGAGCCAAAAATCTTTCTGATTGAGAGGGGGTCAAATACTTATTTCCCTCACTAAAATGCAAATCAATTTATAACATTTTTGACATGCGTTTTTCTGGATTTTTTTGTTGTTATTCTGTCTCCCACTGTTCAAATAAACCTACCATTAAAATTATAGACTGATCATGTCTTTGTCAGTGGGCAAACGTACAAAATCAGCAGGGGATCAAATACTTGTTTCCCTCACTGTATATATTCATAAAATTAAATGGGTTATAAAATTAAATGGGTTATTGGAAATTATGCAGACAATTACGCTGATGGAAGCTACAATCTATCAGCAATGTTATAGCTGATCTACCCCCATTTTTAAAAATATATATATTTAAAAAATGACCTAGAAAACCAGGTGAGAGGAGTTCCAAACTAATAAACCAACAGACTCTCACCCCTCCAGGAATTGAGTTTGACACCCCTGCTTTAGTCCTTATGTCAAGAGGTATGAGCATAAAAATAAATTTTAAATGCCGAATTCAGAATCAATTGGGCTTCCAAAACATCTATGTCCCATCTAAAAAGCTGTAGTATAGCCTCCATTTTCAGCCGTGCCTTGATTTTAAGTCCCAATGAGGGGATTCGATTAAGCTTGCACGGGCGCCCGGAGATTTCCCCCGGGCATAAAGTGATTGCATTCGTTTTGAAACCGGGCTGTCTGCCTCCCAGCTCAAAACAAAGTGACGTATGTCAATCATGTGGAGTAATGATTAGAACACATACAAAGTTTTGTTTGCTCTTGATAAAAACACATATGTACTTTATCTGCCTTAAACTAGTTCGAAAATTGTAACATTCATTTATGGGAAATACCTGTTGTATGTTCCTGAACGATGCAGCATGCTGCCTTGTAGACAATATGACCTGGTGGCGCAACAATTTCAACGATTTTATTGAGTTACAGTTCATATAAGGATATCAGTCAATTGAAATACATTCATTATGCCCTAATCTATGGATTTCACATGAATGGGCAGGGGCGCAGCCATGGATGGGCCTGGGAGGGCATAGGCCCACCCACTTCGGTGCCAGGTCCACCTACTGGGGAGTCAGGCCCAGCCAGTCAGAATTCGTTTTTCCCCACAAAAGGGCTTTATTACAGACAGAAATACTCCTCAGTTTCATCCACTGTCCTGGTGGCTGGTCTCAGACGATCCCACAGGTGAAGAAGCCGGATGTGGAGGTCCTGGGCTGTCATGGTTACACGTGGTCTGCGATTGTGAGGCCGGTTGGACGTAATGCCAAATTCTCTAAAACGACGTTG